AATAACTTTTTTTGTTATTGTTATTGTTATTAATAACAAAAAATAATAATAACTTCTCACTCCCATTACAAAGGGGACGCGATTTTGGCTAAAATCTAAGAATTTTCTAAGAGTTTAGAAAAATGATGCACCAAGTTCGCGGTTAACCATGGTTATCGGGTTCAATTGAACAAAAAAAACCAAAAGAGTGCCAGTATATGAAAAGGAAAAGGAAATTCTATTCGGAATGCAGAAACAAATAAGATATGTCGACTGTCTAGAGATCAATTACGTTGGAAAACAGTTATAATCTGCTAAAGATATTTCACCTAGTCCACATTCTATTAGTATAATCAAACTAAAAACTATGTGAGTTACACATTTCAGTCTGAAAAGAGCTGCTCTAGCAAGCTTTGCTATTCATACTTTCTCTTTGTTATTATGAACAACAAGATAAACTAACACTCGCAATCTCAATACGAGATCCCATAGCAAGTCTTGATTTATCAAATTAAATCCTTTTTTTCTTTAGATTTATGTGAAAAAATAGATGTAATGGTAAGAATATATTTAAAAGATTATTTTATTTTATATTTTGCTTAGGCCTAGCCAACAGCAGATCATTGTGAAAAAGAAGCGTAGAATCGTAACCCGTAAAGAATTTATGAAACTGCAACGTTTAATGAAACCTTCTTATTATATGTGAAATTTTCATAAACCCTTATGAATGGATTTATGAAAGGGTATTTCATTTTCATAAACTCTTAAAGCGTTTATTATACGTTGTACTTTCATAAACCCTTAAAGGATTTATGATGCTACTCTTTTTTGTATAGTGTAGTCTGAGGAGTAAATGCTCTTCCGACCCGTAAATACCGGTAGACCGACCGACATGAAATCTCTACTGGTATCGATTTCATCTGTAATCTCAAGCAGGACTCTGCCAAAACAAGTATATTATGGCATGTAACAGCGAAAGCAATATCCCAACATGCTACGCGTTTTCACCTGTTTAGCTTTCGTGGCAACGACAACGTATCATCAAACGATAGAATGCTTACTAAAGTGGATTCTAAACTAGTGATGCTAATATTGGCATCAAAAGCAATTTCGAGACCATAGCAGCTGTATAGGATCACCATTTTGAGTTCTATCACATGAAGCATGCCAAATTCGAAACTCACCCGTACCATACTCCTCTCTGATGGGTATTGCAATAGATGGGAGCGACTTTTTGATTTCAAATATTCTTTTACTGAGGTTGCTAACAGCACCATTAAATATTTGAGAATATACTGTTGCCCTTGATGAACTTGACCAATATATACCACTTCAACATACATATATTCAAGTTTTCTTCTAACACTAGCAGAAAACTTTCGATTAACGTAGAATCTAACTTAGTGAATATAGAAGTGGTAGCAAATAACAGACAAACTCCCCAAACAATACGAATTCTAGAAGTATTGAAATGAGTATCCTGTGTAATGACCTACCGGCTCATGCTATTTTCATCAGGTTCTCATATTGTTTCGTAAAGTGAGTAGACTGCTCTCAAGCGAAACAATAATAAAATTACTGAGTACTTGTAATACCTCGTTATGATTGAACAATACCTAGAACAATCCTAGAAGTTAAGCCAGTTTAAGGATAAGATCCCCTTTGAAGATTCCTTGGCCTATTTGTTTCTTGGCGCACATTCTCAAATTAATACTCTTTGCTATAATTGTAGCTTTTCACTCATTGTGGTTATGGAAATACAAGTAAAGTAAAATTTATAAAAAATCGCTTGAAATCTCCCACAATCTTTTGAAATCTTTAAAATGTGCCTTTTCTCCCTTGATATTTCCTATTCATTTCATACAGAACTTCGAAGCATTTTTGTCAGAAGGAAAATAATTATTATGATGCAAAAACAAATCCTATACAAGTTTAGCGGTACCACTAAGGATAGGAAAATCTGCTGAATAATAAGATGATGAAAGAGGCCTTCTGAAAAGAATACAATTTTAAAAGACTTACGTTTACTCGCTGCATTCGTACGAAATATTGTGTACTGACGACAAGAACAACACTGTAATGTATTGATATTTGTTGTATGCAAAAGATAAAAGCATGACGTTGCTTATATAAGTATATCATTAAATAAATTTCGTTTGTGCGCAATCATCCGTTTACGTCAAAGGAATCATGATCATATATTATTGACATTCCTAGCTTTTTTCCTCATAAAAATATTGTCTTTCTTTTGCTTGTTTTATTACTCATCGATCGAACAGCTTAAAGAACGGAAAGAGAGTGAATCGTAGATTGGAAAAAATGTGCACTGTACCATGGTTTTATTTGTTTCTTTTTTCCATTGACACAGAGAATCGACAAAATATTAGGGCTTCACCGTCATGTAAGGGAGATTAACAGTCAATTTGAGTTTTTTTCAAAATGATTCGTTCAATTTATTGAGATACTTCAACAATGCTTGTGAACCAGCCATAATTCGACGAGCTCGATTGAGTAATAAATTCAAAATTTTGACGACAACTACTTGAAAAATATGAAATCTAAAAGTATGCTTTTTACTATAAACTATTATCGTCTTTTAAATATTTTAGTCGATTAGTTTGCAATAAGAATGAAATTGAGAGCTGGAAGAAATAGTGGCGATATAGTCACACGTGGCACAAAAGTTTATACTTCTAGTTCTACTTTGGCCAAGATATGTTATTTCTTGACATGCTTGAAGCTTATCCTCTATTACAAGTTATTCTAATATTCAGTATATTAAAATATTTAACACAGAAAATGATTTATTTATTATTTTTTGTAAGTGTTTAGCAACGATTGATGTAACTTTATTCCATCAGTATTTTTTTTGATTGTTTAATAATAAAAGTTAAAGGAAGAACGGTTAATGTTCGAGAATACTTTGTTGAAGATATTATTCAATTACTTAGTTTTCAACATATTAACTCAATATCATCAAGTCAAAAATAAAAATAATAAAAATCGACAACTACAACATAGCGATTATGATTATCATCAAGGATATAAACATTCACAAGCAGATGATATTGAAGTTTTCACGTTTTCTCAAATAATTCCTTGCTCTTTATTCATCATTTCTAGTTATCCATATGGGTGGCACTTTAGCTTTACTTTACATGTTAAAGT